AAAAAAGGCTTTATTTGATTTCCTTTTGTTCTTCCACGGTGATCCAAACTGTTAGTTGGAAAGCATGAAGTCTCTAGTCCCCGATTACTCCTTTTCTCGTTCTTAGCTACAGCCGACTTACAGTCAGAATCGTACCATTTCGAATGTGTCTGAGGGCTATACATTGGCTTGCGATGACCAGTCAACTACCAAACGACCTCGATACCAATCAACCCGTCCAGAAGGAAGCAAGCGCAATCATGGTCTGGGCGAGTATCAATCCATAGTTCAATTCGAGGACCATGGGTGTGATAATAAGCCACTTCGCACTACACTACCTCCACTATTCAATCCGTTATTGGTGATGGAATTGAGAACTTGACCGATGTTGACTAACGTAGGTTCTCGATAAGGAGCGAGAGTGGTCGGGATCAGTATCCCTGGTTTCCTTTATCTTTTCGACTGTGGTTGATGAAGCCCCACTAGGATATGCCTCTGTTGTTTACATTTGCCGACCAAAATGTCTAATGTCGTCAGGCCATACTCGCTAAACAAAAGTTAGCGCTAAGGTATTCAACCCTGCGGAAGTGAGCTGTATGGAAAAGCCAGTTAGCCAGAAAAGCTCTACTTGTACCCCATTCAATCGGAAAAGAATAATAAATTTCCATTCTTCAATTTTTTGGAAGACTTAGAGTGCAGCATCCAATTCTTATATTTTCGATAGAGACTAAGGCAGTGGTTGAGAGCATGGCTGTTTCCGAAGTTCTAGACCAATCATCGATGTTTCTTCAAAGAAAGGCTCTCAGATGTGGGTTGGAGCGACTTGTTGTTTAACGAGCCTCCGTCTATTATTATTGCGTCATTCACTAGGTGCTTTAACTTTATAATCTCCCTAGATGAAGCTGTCATTTTTTTCGCTACCAATCTCGAAAAAAGTCATGTGTAATGCTCCCTGAATGAATGGTGTTATTTCGATCACACTGACACTTGTTGATGAAAAAGTTTATTCGGACACGAGAAAGTATCGGAGAAATTAGGCCTTCTTTGCAACCTTTCTTCTGAGCATACGCTTCTTCTTGAGAACACGATGACGTCTACGGTATCCGCCACCTGGTCCACCTCTGTAGCCACCGCTACCTCCTCCGACTCCTCCGCTACCTCCGCCGACTCCTCCGCTGCCTCCTCCGACTCCTCCGCTACCTCCTCCAACGCCTATACCGCCTCCACTTCGAGGTGGACAAGGGCAGTATTCTCCATCACCACCAGGTGCAGCGTCTCCTCCGGGTGCTCCAGGTGCTCCAGGGGCTCCAGGTTGTCCTGGGTTTCCATTTGGTCCAGGTGGACCTGGAGGACCAGCGTTGCTACCGCCACCAGCACTGCCGTTCTGACCTGGTTGTCCAGGTGCTCCGTTTGGTCCAGGAGGACCTGGAGGTCCGGGCTGTCCTGCTCCACTTGTTCCAGGTGCTCCTGGCTGACCAGGAGCTCCAGGTTGACCATCACTTCCTGGTTGTCCGGCGTCTCCCGGTGGCCCAGGAGGTCCAGGTGGTGAGGCCCCAGATCCACCTCCAGGAGCTCCAGGGTTTCCATCTGGTCCAGCTGGTCCGGGGCCTCCGTCTGGTCCTGGTGGTCCAGGAGGTCCAACGGGACACGAAATGCAGCCGCCACCTCCAGTGCCTCCACCGGTGCCTCCGGCATTTCCTGGTCTTCCAGGTTGTCCAGGCAGTCCAGCTTCACCAGGAAGTCCGGGTTGGCCAGGAGGTCCAGGTGGTCCTGCGGGGCAGCCGCTGGCCTGTTGACCACAGTTGCATTGTGATCCGCCTCCTCCCGTGCCTCCTCCCGTGCTGTAACCAGATTGTCTGCGGTTCACGAATGCTGCACGCTTGTCACGAGCCATTTCAGGGGTGGATCTCATTTCATGCCATGCGGAGTTAGCGAGGTCCTGAATGGAAATAGTGTGCTGAAGTGATGCCAAGGAAAAATGTCAAATTATGACTTACTTTGAAGCTGTCGAGTTCAGAGAGGACGTCATCATAGAAGTTGTTGATGTCGTTTACGATGTAAACAACAGTCACCAACGAGACGACGATGGCCACTGCGGTTACAGCGGCTACTCCACTAGCCAAAGTTGTGGTTCCCATCCCTGAAAAGTATAGTTATGCATTTATAAGTGCGAATTTATGAATATGAGACTCGAGAAGAAAATTAGAGAAACGTAGAAATACTTCAGGGAAGTTTTCCAGGGCACTGCGATGGTTTACTCCGAGTTTGTGATGTCCTTATATTGACTAACTCAAGGTCATTCGCATAAGGGCTGATACAGCATACCTTGGACATTTCGGTTTTCTCTTTGCAATTACGATTATCGCTTAGCGACAAGTAAAACTGAAACTTTCCAGCAGAAGGCCATTCCATGAATGTAACATTACTTTCGCGACCCAACAGACAATTCCCCACAAGATCAACCTGACATTAAGATAGAAAAAGGATTTGTTGGGCTGTCGACACCTTTCATGCAGTTGATTGCAATCTCAGTTGATTGCAAAAGCGCCTTTTCCATCTCAAACTTATAAAAGAACTACTGGAGTGGAATGCTTTTGGATGCGCCCTGTGCATTTGCCCTTCACACGGAACTGTTGCTGCGTTTGAATGTGCATGCGGCCTACACACTGCCGTCATGGCAAAACGATGTGCGGGTCAGGGGTTTCATCAACAAAAACGAGTCCGGCTCCATGTTACCCACCAGGAGGAACGGAAACTTCGTTTTTTCGAACAATAGTGGATCCAGAACTTGATATCCGAACCACATTGTAATACGAGTGTTATCTGGAGCTACCTTATCTCAGTCCCATTTAGCCTATACAATTTTTTACTTGGCCATTTTTCACTTGGCCTCAGTTCAAACCAGCATTTTCTCCTTGGGTACCATCATCATATGGAAGGAACTTCCTTGCTTATTCAACCGTATGATAGCCAAAGCGTCTACATAATCGATACGCACTCCCTTACGAGTTCGAATCCGTCCACTCCGCTGCTAAAACCCATTGAAACTCGTGTCAAGCATATGGCCTTGAAGCCCGTCATAGGTCGTTCGGGTATATATTGTTCCAACGTTCCACAGTCTGTAACAAAGAAGTCAATGATGAGCCTCCACGTGGTCAACAGATTACGACTATCATAAAATGATGTTATAAGCATACAAGTGAGTAGTGTCCTTTTAAAATATACCTATGGAAGCTTCCACAAAATCCCTTGTGACCTTTATCCTCCCGAACTCCTCCAAACTAACGTGAGGTTTCTAGGAGATACTTGCCGTGCATCCTCAAAGGAAGTGGTTTCCTCTACTACCACCAGATAGGCAGTTTTTAACAAGTTGACTGACCAGTATATTTTTTGTGTTACTCGTGTGTTCGGCACCTTCTCCTACGCCTACATAACAATAAGCCTGAAAGTCGGAAAACACTTGAGATTGATCGCCTTATAA